GAGAGGTGGTGCTGGTCTCTTCTCACAGGTAATTAGCAACAGAACAAGAGGGAATGGCTTCAAGCCACAACAGGGGAGGTTTAGACTGGACATTAGGAAAATTTTTCACACAGAAAGAGTGGTTAGACCCTGGAATAGGCTGTCCAGGGAGGGGATTTAAGGGTTATTTGGATGTGGTGTTGGTGGATATGGTTTAGGGGAGAACTTTGTAGAGTAAGGATGATGGTTGGACTCAGTGATCCCAAGGGTCTTTTCCAACCTGAATGGTTCTATTAAAAATAAATAAATACATGTCATGGTGTGCATATGTGGCTTGCAGAGAACAGAATGTCTCCAGAACTGTCACATATCTGTGGAAGGAAACCACTGCATTATTAGTGTCTTTTGAGATTTAATCCCTTGGATATTTTCTTAGAGCTGAGAATCTGAGTTTTGGTTGCACCGTAATACTTCAGATTATTTTGAAACCAAGGACATGCAAAAGTACAGCTTGCTTGTCACGGAATGATGACAAGTAATGCTAAACAAGATTTGAAAAATGTTTTCAAACTTGTGTTTTTAGATCAAAAACTTGATTCACACTTTATTCTGGATTGCCTGAATCAGCAAGACTGTGGGAAGTGATGCATAACTGCACAACATTGATTCACATCCTACGTGTTCAGTGCTCGGTCAGGAAGCCTGAAGCTTAATGTCAAATGAGTGGGTGAAGCAGTTAACCAGAGCAAAATAAATTGTTCTGCTTACGTAGTGCTGAATAGGGGCATTATCTTGGAAAAAAAACCCCTCAGTTTCAGTGACTTACTATACTGTACAATACTTGTTACTTGGGACTGAACCACGACTACAAACTATTTGGATCCAAGCTCAAGGTCAAATATTCAATCTTGCGTCTCTTCTGTAATCTCTTTTCTAGAAATTATTTCAAAACGATTACAGAAATCAAATGAATTTATTTTTTTAGAGTTACAGAATGTACATCTCAGAAATTTCAAGAAAGGGGGGTAAACATTATTTCCTCATCTCTAAAATGGGATTTTAAGTTTTTGGGAAGAAAACAATAATGTCTAGTTCTCCTGCTAGGACCACAGTGAATCTTCAGCTTATGGGTCTTGATGTTATATTTTTCACAATTTTAAAGCATTTAATGTCACAACCTCAGTGTTCTAAAAGAACTTGGTATCTAGTATTCTGTGTTGTTGCAAACCATGGATCAACAAATTTGAGTCTGGAAAACTTCACTTTGAACTGTAGAAGCAAGAGAAGGAGGAGGTCTACTCGATTGCTTCCAAATCAAGGAGAGTAAAGACTGCTGATGTTAGGACTTAATGCAGAACTTACACTTCCATGGGAAACTGCCTTCCATTGTACATATTTTAATGATGAGGGCAGATCCGTGCAGGTGCTGTTACTTTTTTCTCACTTATATTTAAAGCCATTAAAACATAAATTTTGGTGTTATAAAAACCAAATCGATGAAATTTGTGTTATTTTTCTAGTGCATGGATTATGATCCTAATTTATGATTAGAAATGTACTTCCATGTTTTACTCCAAATAGTGGTTTTTTTTAGAAACACAGGAATAAGGGTTTGTATTTGTATTAATAAATGTATTCATCAGGTGAAATAAATGTGTTGAGTTGGTTGTCTTAGTAATGATCAGATGTGATTCGCCATTTGTAATGGGTAGTCCTTGATGAGAAATCATATGATTACTTTTCCAAGGACAGTAGTAGCCCAAACCAGAAAATGTTCAGGAAAAGTGTCTCTGTCATGACTAGGTTTGCAGAAAGTGGTAGGAACTGAATCTTCGGCTCAGTTTGTCATTTCACTTTTATCTTTGGAAAGAGCTACTGATGTTGTCATCAGTATCTTGAAAGACAGCCTATGCTTTGTAAAACTAGGACTCACGCATTAAATCTAAGTTTGTCCCAGACTTTTGGGGTGGATGTGCTAATTATGTATGATCGGAGTAGGAAAATGGCCACCACCACCTTCTCGTTTTCTTTTGTTTTTTTCAGGCCAAGAACTTGATTTGCATGGGAATCAAAAGAGGGCATTTTCCCTGTGACAGAAATACTATATTTTAATGTGAGGCTGATCAGAATTGCTAGAGTAAGTTACTATTTTGGTGCATTTTCTAAATGTTTATTTTAAAAGTCTCTGCATAATAATTCTGACTACATATGTACTATAATAATATGTATGCAACTAAACCATACATAGGGTTACATCACACTTGAAATTTTACGCAGCGTGCAAGCATCTTCTCTTATTAAAAAATCTTCCTGTGGATTTTCCAATTAAGGTAATACTTGATCTCTGATATTGGAGTGCACTAATTTGGATTAAGTGTAAAAGAGCAAATTTGACAAATAAGATGACTTCTCCAGATAAAGTTAGTTGATTAGAATCAGATTTAGAGGAAATTAAGGAAAATGCTCTTAGTATTCACATATTTTTAATTTACCTGTTCATACAAAGTGGAAGACCATGGTCTTGAACGAGCAGTGCAGTCCTTTATGTGTGGCACAAAACAAACAGTCCTGACTAAAAGTATTTGATGCCAGGCTTTTAATTCTTCAGATGCTTGCAATTGTTATGGTACACTTGACCCCCAGGAGTGGCTTCCACAACCCAGAGTGATGATGCCTTTGTTCTTCCTTTGGATATTTGAACAGTTGTCAGCACAAAGGACAGGAGCAAGGCTTACTCACTGAAAGTCAGGTACCCTACATGCCTGTTTGGGAACCTGTTCCCTTCCCTGGTTTCAATAACTTTTTACCCATACCCCCTCTTATTTCCTAAATATTTGTATCATATGCTCCTGTTGGGTTCAGCTTGGTCTTTTGCAGAATGTCATTATAATCTGAGTGGGTATACTACTGGATAGGTGAAAAACTGGTGGGATGGTTGGATTTAGAGGTGGCTAGTTGGCTATAACTAGCCTAGAAGCTGGTAACCAGTGGAGTGCACCAGCTCTCTGTTGTAGGACATGCCTTGTTCACTGTTATGCATTACTTGGAAGGTGACCAGCCCTCGCTCTTGAAGTTTGCAGATGATGCTGAACTGGGGGAATGGATAAGCAGTGGATGTGTTTGAAGTCAGAGCTGGCACTCAGAAGGACCTAAGCGGGTTGGAGGAGTTGGCTGGCAAAAACTGTGTGAAATTGAGCAAGGATGAGGGCAAGGTTGTGCCTGTGGGAAGGAAGAGGTCCTTCAAAGGGAAACGTTCCCTTTCATTCAGCACTTGTCAGACAATACCCGGAGGATTGCATCCAGCTTTATGTCCACACCCCAGTGAGCCTCAGTACAAGAAAGATGTAGTTAAACTGAAGCAAGCTCAGTATGAGACCACTGCAGTGTCAGGGAACTGTAGTTCAGGAGGAGAAGCTGTCGGAGCTGGGCTTGTTCGGCCTGAAGAAGAGATGCTTCATGAGGGCCTAATGAGAGCCTGCCCGCACCTGCTGTCATGTTATCAAGAAGGTGGCATGATGACAGGCAAGGTCATAAACTGAAATAAGGGTGGTTCTAACCAGATATAAGGGCAGTATTTTCCTCTGGGAGGACAGCTGAGCAAGAGAACGGGTTGCCTGGTAAGATTGTGCAGTCTCTGTCTTTGAAGGCTCGCAGAATCCCAGCAGATGAAGCAGCCTGGTCTCTCCTGATAGCTGACCTGGCTTTGAGCAGCAAGTTGGACTACGTGACCTAAGGTACCTGCCAACCTGACCAAGTCTATGAAACAGTGATTAGGTATTTTGGCTTGCAATAATAATCTTTCCTCAGAGGGAAAGAATACAAATACTTAAAAAATCTGTAGTGTTTTCTGCGTGCATAGGAGCCCTCAGACCAATCTGCAGATGGAGTCTTTGCTTTCTTCCTCTTTTCGTCTCTTGCAGATGATGTACTGGCCAGAAATCTGCTCTAGGTGAAGAAATGTTGTAAATAATACCCTGTAAAAAGGAGGACTGGAATACCAATCTCTAGTCATGTTCCCAGGGTGTCCCTATAGATTGGTGCTTTTTCAGGGCTTGCTGCTGCATTGTTCTCTAGCTTTTAGCAGAACACTGCTTGGTGTGAGAAGGGGTGGCAGAAAAAGAAGCAAAGTAGCTTTTTGGGGAAGTAGGGTTTGTGTGCAGTCTGAAAACTTTGCCTCTCTGCAGATCTGACCTTTTTTGTGTTGCAGCTGATAATAGAATTTCCCCTGATTTAACTGAGCGAGGAACTAGGCTTCATATACATTTTTTACTTGAACCAGTGCAGTTCCTTATTATTCCATTGCTTATGATTTAGATAATTTTGTTAAATTTAAGAATAAAATTAATATAGTATGGAACTGTTAGCTATTAATAAACCCAAATATAAGTTAAAAGACATAGTGATCCAGTCTTGGTACAGCCTTCTTCTGTGGCTTACAGCATGTGATGGTAAGCTTTCCTAGTGCCTGCTTCGTTCACACCCACTGTGGTATAAAACCATCTTAAAAAAAAATAATCTACAGTCTGTGTTTCTTAGGAATAGTCTTGTATGGAGAACAAATTGTTCTTACCAGTTTTTACTCTTTCTGTGTAACAGGGCCATCCTGACATACTCAAATAATAAATAAATCTAAGTTCTTTCTTCTGCATTTTTTTTCTTCATTACATTCTCAACAGAGTCTATATATCAAATTTCAGGAAGATATACTTCCCAACAGGAGTTCTGAAGTTATAGGTGGAAGAAGATTCAATTGGGCACTATGTAGTGATCTTCAGTAGGTGATGTGGACATAAGAGGCTTTTAGACATTCACAGGCCTTGTCATCACAGGGATTTGCTTTTTGTTATTTTGCGCTTTTCTTAATTTAATTTTTGGGCTTTCTCAGAGAAATTGCTTTGCAGCTTGCCTGCACTAAGCTTTCTGTGTGAGGCATGGTTCCTTGGAAATCAATATCTTCATTTTATCTTTTGTCTTTTCTATTAAAAAATGTTCAGTGTCTCATTCTTTCTGCACTGTTAAAAATGAAGAATCCTGATGTCATTGCAGTTATAATGCACACTCCTTCTAAAACAGAAGGTATGTATGTCACCTTTACAGTTCTTAGGGTGTTAGAGCTGGAAAACTTGGCTACATGTGCCTCTTGGGAGTTCAGGGAGCAGGTACAGAGGTACAAACTCTGCACTTCCTTGTGGTTGTAGTGGAGTTTGCCTTGGTCCTGTTTCTGTTGCCTTCAGACTGTTATATAAGTAATGACTTTCAGAAAATAATTCTGATGAAGTGGAAATGCAGATGTTGATCAGTATTTGTATCTGGATAGTTGAGAACTAGTGGTCTGTTTTCATTCCACAATTGGAGGAAACTATCAAATGAAATCTGATGTGCAGCTGTAGCTGAGGAACCTTCTCGTCCTGTAGGCAGGAGGAGTTACCAGAGGTAATGAGAGGGGAAACTGATTCACTGAGAGGAACGACTACTTTCTTTTATAGTCTTTAGACAAGTGTAAAGGTACTTTTGTTTTCTTTGCTAAAACTGCAGTTCTGGAATCAGAATTTCAGTCTCACAGATGACTGACCTCTAGCCTTTACGATCGAGGTGTTAATGCGCTGAGATTTTAAAGCCTGCAGTGGGATACTGCAGATTCTAACCTTCTTCCCTTAGCAGCTTCTGAGGTTGGAGGTGAGCACTCCTGGTGGAAAATAGAATAAAATGTTTTAGTTGGAGAATGATCATCTAGTCCAACTGCCTGACCACTTCAGGGCTGAACAAAAGTTAAATTATGTTATTAAGGGCATTGTCCAAACACCTTTTGAACACTTACAGGCTTGGGCCATTAACTGCCTCTTTAGGAAGCCTGTTCCAGTGTTTGACCACTCTGTAAAGAAAAGCTTCCTTTTCCTGAACAGAGCAGTTCAGTTATTCAGATTCGTAATTTTATCATGCAATACATATGAATAGAATAGCTTATGTATTTCATGTTTAATAGGTTATTTTTTCTATTTGGAATTTTTAAATACCTTTGGAATTAAATTCTGGTATTCTGTGTCTTAAATGCACATAGTTGTTCAGTTTCTTAAATATTTTTATGTTAAACTAAATAACATACTCAGTGGTGAGGATGTTGTATCTGGCATACAGTGTTTAGTACGGGTCCCAGTACAGATGAGGGACTGGCAAACTGGAATGGTTCCAGTGAAGGCCACTGCCATGGTTGGGGATGGGAACAGGTCAGGAGTGGCTAAGGAAACTGCTGCTCTGGGAGGTGGTGCACCCTTGGGGGTTTTTCAGTACATGGGTGAAAAAAGCCCTAGGGAACCTTATCTAATTTTGAAGATGCGTGTCCTGAGTTCACGAGAGAACAGAGGTCCCTTTCAGCTTCATTTGAGCTGTGATTTTCACAATCATTGTTCGAATGTGCCTGTGTAGCTGTGTGGTGTGTAGCTGTGTGGTGTGTAACTGTTAGCAGCAGTTTGTGGGGAAACCACTTGAGCTACAAACTGTGCAATGGGCTGCTCGTCAAATTAAATCATCTGGCTTGATCTTGATTTAAATATCTTTGACTTGAGTTGGTTTCCCTGCCTCTCAATAGAAGAGTGAAAAACTTCTTGAAATATGGTGCAGTTAGAAATTGTTCCATGAACATGCAGTCTACTGCATGAAATGGCAATTATTTTTATGGAGGGTATTACTGGAATGTACAATGCACAAACTGTCTTTGCTGCTGCCGTGTTTTTCTCAGCATCCAAAAAGTAGAGAAAAATCTGTGGAACTTCAAGATAAATTAATGCAATGTGTAAGTCAAACCAGAAGGCATTCTTAAGTGAGAAAGTGTATCTTTCTTCCTGTGAATAACTGCACTGTTCGGATGGGAGCAAGCAGGTCAGTGGCTAGGATTCTAACACTGTGTCTGTGTCTTTCTTTGACACTATTCTTGTGTAATTTGAAGCATGCCACTGTGAGCTAGATCAAAACAAGAGAACAAACTGAAAACATCCATATCTCAGCTCTGCATGTTAATTTTTAGTATTTGCTTATGAGGAAGAAATTGATTTTTAAAATAATTGCTGAAGTTAACTTTCACAGATGTTTAAAAACTTGCATCATACATTGAAATAAAACAATCTTTTTAAGGCCTTGTAGGTACTCTCTTAGAAAGATGCATTTGGAAGAGATGCTTAGACTGACTTAGAGGTTTGCTGATGGTAACCTATGTTCCAGTGATGGAATAAAGAAAAATAAGCTTTTCTTCAAATCATACTTTTCCCTCATTTTGGCTGGCAGTTTTGGTGTGGCCAGATGCATTCCAGACATTTGTAAACAGGAACCCGCCTTTGAGCTCTGCAGATACAGATTGTAGAGACAGGCTTTAGAAGGGACACTGTATAGTGAAAGCACATAATGGAATATTTTGTGTGTTGTAGGCAGATGTTGTATATGCATATGAATCCTTTCTGAGCCTTGTCTCTGATGTCTATTACTTGATTAAGTGTTACCAAAGCTTAAGACAATTTAGAAAAGAATTTTGTGTGCTTACGAAATGCAAGTAGTCATGAATGATTTAATCATATAAGGATCTTGAGCTATCAGAGTTATTATATTTCCTGGCATGTCTATCCTGATGATTTGCCCTTGCATACCTGGTGTCAGGGAGGTAAATTGCCTGGTACCTCCTAAGGTTGGATCCTTTTTTGAGGCACTGCTTTCCTTTCACTGCTGCCTTTCCTGGAAGTGGAAGTTGATTTGACCTCTGCATCCTGATTAATTTAGTTTATTATTTTTACACTGTAACTTGAATTTTACTACCTCTTTCGGGTTACTTATTTCATACTTTAGATATGGAGACTTTCCAAGGGCATGAACTCTTTTGCCTGCAGTTGCAAGAAGAAATGGTAGCTTCTTGAGATTAACACCTATGGGCTACTCAAGAATAGGGTAGAACATTTAGCATTGGCTCTTCTTGTGTGGCTTTTGGAAACTTAACTTTCCTCTTCAGCCTTGTTCTGAAATCTCTTTTGATATGCTGTTTCTTAAGTTAAAATGAAAATGGGTTTGGGACAGAGTGTGTGCATTGCTCAGCACAACTCCAGTTTTCCTTTCCAGATGATACTGGAATATCACTAAAAAATTGGTGTTACAGGGGGAGGGAGGAAATTTTCTCTTGTGGGTTCTGGGCTTTGCTCTCTCCTGGGGTGTATTCAGGGCCAAAGTAAGGGACTGCTTTGTAGATTTATTCTTTTCCTTAAAACATGAGACTGATAGCATTTGAGAAAGTTGCTCAGGAGACTGCTCACTGGTATTTCACTCTCTTCAGGAGAAGTGTAAGTAAAGGGACTCAAGTGGAGTTTTTAAGATTGCCAAAAGAAAGGAAATGAAGCAGCTGTCTATAAAGTGAGACTTGTGAGACTGCCAAATGAAGCACAACATCATCAAAACTGATAAGCCTCCTAGAATTTTGCTCTTCCTCCCCTTCAGGAAGATTTTGAAGCAGAATGTGTACTCTGAACAGACATTGAAATAACATGTTTCAGTAATCTGTTTGTGATTGTCACAGTGGGAGGTGCAGAGTACCAAATAGTTTTAAAACTTCATCCTTCTTCAGCTGGCTTATTGAGATCATCACAAGAATTGGCTCCAATACTGAGAGCTGTGTACATAAAAATTTGGACTCTGTATTTCGAAGCAAGAAGCCAGGCACATTTTCTCTCTTCTATAATGGTATTAGCTAATAGGTATGAGCTTGGCCAAATTGAAAAGGAGTGTCTCCATAGTTGGAAGTGGTGTTCTAAAAAAAATGTTCCCTTCATTTTTGCAGGGTTTTTCAGTCTGCTAAAGGCACGGTGGATGCACTAGGATGGACACAGAGGCATTTCCACCCCCACCACCAGAAGGTAACTGAAATTTCTTGGGGTTTAAAGCCAATTTTGCTGTAACAACTTGATTATATTTCCAGAGGTAGATATTTCCCCAGAACTCCCTTTTCCCATATCACCTCAAGATTTGGTCTTAGTGGTATTTTGCTGAAACATTGGTTTCTGTCACCTACCCTGTCGTGTTCTTGGACCTTGCTTGCTGGTGTTGTGAGAGCATGATGGAATGAAACCTGAGAGCAATTGGTCATTACAATCCAAACCTGAAAATCCTTGTTTTCTACGGCAATATTGTGTGGACCGGATCATCACATCTTCATCATGTCCTTCGGCAGCATCAAGTGTTCATGCGCATGGTGCTCTGTAGAGAAAGAACAAGTGAAACCAGTGGCACAGGCAGGATATTTGGACCAGTATCTCAAGTGTCTTGATGGATAGGGAGTCTGAATTCAGAGGACAGAGATGGGTGAATTGTTTTCTATTAGGGCATGTGCTGCTTCCACCAAACATACTTCATCTGGACAATGTCTACTGAGGGCTATAGGTGAAGGACCTTCTTTTCATGCTGCAGTTCTCTAGCCGGCATGCATTCCCATGGGTAGCAGAGGGATGGATGCACAAACTGAACCTCTGTGTGGCCAGAGGGCAGAGGTTTATGGAGGAGCATTTTGTATACTGGACTGATGGACTGGTTCTGTAAGGTTAGTACTTAGTGCACCTTGCCTGCTGTAAACTGGTAGCTGTATGACTGCTTGTATAGCCCAGGTTTTAGAGAACATAATGACAGGATGTACAAAGACTGTGTCTTTGCCTTCTGCATTTATGTTTTCTGTAAGAAAGTATGGCTATTTAATGTTTTGGGTTTTTTTAAACTTGGTATTATTAGTCTTAAAAGGATTTGAATTTTGACAGCTGGATGCTGGGGGTATTCTTGGGAGAAGAATGTTGTGCTTATTCTGATAATCCCAAAGCACGAGTTTATGGAGATACGGGTTATGGAGACCTGTAGTTGAACCCAGTGCAGGTGTTCTTATTTTGATAAAGTTGCTAGTATAGTTTGTGTAGATGGTGACTTTCCCATAAATTTTTGATCTGTCCCTCATATAGGACATTATTACTTATAGACTTACACCCTATTATATACATGGATATGTGTATATATTAATATATTTATATTAATAATATACATTATTTCTTAAAGGACATTCTACT